CAAAATAAATATTACAAGCAAACTGAGGGATTAGCCATGGGAAGCCCCCTCAGTCCCATTCTGGCTGATATCTACATGCATTATTATGAATCAAAATTGTTTGAAACTTTAAACTTCCCGGCATGGTTCCGCTACGTAGACGATACTTTTACCCTGTTTGAAGGTAATAAAAATGATTTAAATAAAGTTCTTTCAACAATGAATTCTATCGATCCTGCTATTCAGTTCACTTTTGAACTTGAGACTTGCAATTTTCTTCAGTTTCTCGACATTCTGGTCACACGTAACACATCCAACTTCAGTACTACAGTTTACCGTAAACCTTCATCGGTTTGCCTTCCACCACACTTTAAATTATGTCATCCGACTAAACAAAAGTTAGCTTCATTTTATTCCTATGTTTTCCGTGCTCTTCAAGTTTGCTCCTCCAAACTAGCCCTTGATGAAGAACTAAAATTATTTAAAAGCAATAGCTATTGACAGTGGCTTTTCACCCAACATTAATAATCAAGCAGTTAAAAAATTGTCATCTCAACACACTAAAAGCCACACTCTTATTTTAGGAGATTATAAAAATTCTGTTGTCATTCCCTTCTTTCCATCAATTAGCTATAAGTTGCACATATTTTTGCAGAAATTTAACTTTTGGGTTGTTTATTCTCCCATCAATAAAATTCCAACTTCTATACTCAAGGACCCCATTCCGGATATGAATTCCTGGGGTATTTATAGGATTCCTTGCCAGTGTGGTTTAATTTACATTGGTCAAACTAAGAGAGCCTTAAAATTTCGCGTTCAAGAACATGAGGCAAATGTTAGAAAAAAGGAAACACAGAAGTCTTCTGTTGCTCAACATTGTTGGTCCGAAAATGACACTTTCAATTTTTCTGCTGCCAAAATTATTCAAAAAAACATCTTCCATTGGAGAACTGGATTTTCTAGAGGCATTTCACATTCATAAAAATCTTTCTGTTCTAGTTAACGATCCTAATTCCAATCCAAATTTGCCTTCGGCTTTTAGAGAAATTATGTTTTAGTTCTGGTTTCGCCAACAGATGGCGCCACTTGCTTATTCTTGTCCAGGCTTTCTTATCTTATCTAATCATTATTTCCTATCTTGTTCATTTGCGGTTTTTTGCAGCTGAAGATGATGGTTTCGGTAAAACCATCGAAACTAGTCCTGTGAAAATTTTGTGAATATAACGCTGATTTTTGTTGTTTGACTTCTGAATTAGTATTTATTCGGCGTGTTATTGTGTCTTAAAAACACAGAAAGTAGAGTTTAACATTCAAGCCATTTCACTCATTAAATGAATTAAAATAAACTCACTTGAGGTAAAATGGAAATAAATTTAGTAACTAGTTCTTCTAGGTATAAAATAAAACTGAACTTTACTAAGGTGAAAGTAAAATTGAACTGATCAATCTTTGATGCTCATCTATCCGTTTTTCAATGAATTGATCCTAGCTTGAGTATGCCTGCATTTGCCGAATCCGAAGCTGTCGTCAGGGTTGTACTCTGGGCCGTTGTTGAGCTTCTTCTTCCTTGCTGCATCCCAGAACCTTTGGCTTTCTCTGTGAAACTGGGGGTCAGATGGTTCAATCCCTTGTTTCCACTTTATTGGACCACATTACTGCTGGACCTTCCCTCTTTCGATCGTGCCATTCGCAGGCAACCTGTAGACACCTCTGTGGGTTGATCAGCTGAACATTTATTTCTGAGTCATCTTGACATGGGATCCTTTCAGAACTTTGGGAGGCTGCTAACCGAGGTTTCTTTTCAGTCTTTCACCATCCCTCGTTGCTCCTTTGGTGGCTGCCGTTGATTACAATAGATAAAGAAAACAAAAAACTTTCATCTGTTGCACTCCGCTTGTTGTTGCCTTCCTTTTGGCTGCGGGATTTTCAATTCCTATCTAATTTTGCACTGCATTGGTGCTTATGCCATCTTGATTTTCCTGCAAAATACTAGCCCACCAGCGGCCGAGCGGTAAAGACGCTGAACACTGGTAGTTCGGTCCGAGGTTTGAATCCCGCGAACGGGCTGGCTGCATGGTCGTTTTCGTGGTTTTCCCCATGTGTAACGTGTATACGAGCCAGTTTCCCTTAGAAAGTCCTCCACGAAAGGCATCCCTTCCCTTAGGCAGATAGCCCTAGTGTGCTTTGCCATAATTAAATACACCACACCACACACCTGCAAAATACTTTCAAATATGTCCATTTTATTTCTATTATCATAAGTTTTAATTTGATCCACATTTGCAACTACTTGTGGTCCATCTCTACTTTTCAAGTAGACTATGCCTTTTCTAACTCTTTCGATAATGTATGGTCCCTGAAACATGGGACAAAATATGGCAAATCTCTCATCATCTGCCACTGATTAGGAGTGCTTTATTTTTAGCACTTCATCTCCGACCTGAGAAGTTACTTCTCTTCTCATGTCTTTTTTTTTTTCCCCTTTTTTCTTTGTTCATTTTCCTCTTGCCCTATCTGAATAACATTTAACTGCTTCATCTGTTAGCTTTTGGATATCTTTCATTTGGAATCCTGGGACTCTCTTCTCTACAAAAAATAATTTGTCCAGCTGTGTAATTAATTTTCGGCCTAAGAATAACTCAGCTGGGCTTTTCCCCATAGTATCATGCCTTGCTGTTTGTAATGCGTAAACTAATTGACTTCGCTATCCCAGCACTTGTGATAATTTCTCACATAACAACATTTTATTTTCACTATGTTCTTGTTTACCCGTTCAGCTATGTAGGCCAGGAGCCGATAAGGTACCATTTTTAGGTGGTGTGTGCCAAGTCCTGTACTTAAATATTTGGGAAACAAACTTTGCTGTTGTCAGAAATTAATTTAAACAGAGCTCCGTATTTTAAGACATATTTGTGGCTAACTCAAATAAGTTTTCCAGCGTTGTTGAATTTCGAAGCTCAAAGTAGTCCTGAGCCTGCAGTAGACATGCAGCAAAATTATTTGAATGACTTCTTCATCTGGCTTTTTGCCGTACAACATATTAAAAATCTGCACTTTCCGCAAAATAAATTCCATCAGGTCGTCGATTTTATATTGAAATTTGCTGAATAGCTCTTGACTCGAACTTGGCTCTATCCTTCTCTATGAGTAATTGCTTTCTTAAAGTTTTCAAAGCTTTTGCTACCAGGTTCACCCAAGACAAATTCACCAAAGCATTTATACCACGTAGCAGCCTTGCATCAAAGGGCGGACGCAGCGATAGGAACTTTTTGTGCTTCTTGTACTGGATGCACCAAAAAATGTGAATTTGACTGCTCCAGAAAACTTAAGGCAGATGTCTTTCCATTAAAAATTTTTCATGGTTTCATAGCAGCTCTAGGGGTGTCAACAATAGACCGGAATCCTCCATGGGATTTGCTGTGGTCGATGGGGCTTGCGGCGTTGAGGGGGAAATACTAAATGGTGAAGTTTCCTGTAACATCTTTTTAAACATTGGGTGCCAATGTAAAGTCTATGCCTCTTTGGGAACATAAACTTTTAAACAGACTCCTAAAGAATTATCTTCTAGCCTTGGCAGCAAAACAGAAATCAGAAGAAGGGTGTATAAGACCCTTTTATTGAACCATAATATTAACATTGACCCAACTTGGGTTACAAGAAGCCACTCACTTCTGGCTTAATAGAATAATGTTACAAATACTAATTTCAAGATGTGGTAAATTAGTCTAATGTCTCGCGTAATATTTTAACAAGCAGGAAGAGCTCTGGTTTGTAGTAAACTGATGAGAACACTCAGTGCCACTAACATCAGTCTCTAATAATCACAGCACTAGGCCTGGAATAGGCAGACAAGCTCTAATTTAAAATAAATGATTTCCAAAACTCTTGCTTAAATAGCACTCTATTCTATCTTAATCTGAATAAACTCTCTATCTCATTTACATTCTGGCATGAAAAGTGTGTGTGAAAAGAGAGTAATAGGAAAGGTTTTTGAACTTAAAATTAACTGTTAGTTAAAAATAAATAGATAAATCTCACTATATAATTATTTCAAAATAACTAAGTTCGATAGGCTAAACTACTTTTAGAAGCAGACTATTAATCTAAAAAATGATAGGTTTCTATTGAAGATTCTATCAAAGTGATTGTTACAGAAAAATACACTAAATGTTCATATTTTAATGAATTAGCACTATGTCAGTACATTTGTCATCATATACTTTTGAGGATAGGATTAGTGGTTGTCTGCAATAAGTTTAATTTCTGTGAATGGTATGTAAAATGTAATATTGTGACAGAGATTCCATTAAGAAGTAATTAATTAATTTTGTATAATAATGAAATAACAATAAACTTGCATAGTTTTTCTCTAGTAAAAGCCTAGTTCTAACTAGAGTGATCTAAGATGTTAAACTATTAATTTTAAATTTGTTCAGTGTACCTTTACATCTTTTAAGTATAAAAGAATAAGATTAACTGTAATTTAACTCATTTCATTGCAAGTTGCATTAATATTATTACTATATTGTACTGGAAATATCTGCAACAATAGAAATTCTGTATAAAGTATGAAATTAAAGCCGAACATATTAGTTAGCAATTTTTAGTGGTAAGGTAATACTTTATAAAACAGATATACATTAATGCATATTAACTTCCATAAAATTCCCAATAAATTAAATTGAGCATTTCACCATTATTCGCTATTAAAATTAAAAGCCTCACTGGCAGCTGAGTGGTTAAGAACACTCAATATTCATAGTTTGACCTTGTTTGCTTTTGATTCCAGGAAGCAGGCTTCCTGCATGGTTGTTTCTCGGGATTTTACCCATGTATAACATGAATATGAGTCAGTTTCCCTCAGAAATCTCTCCATGAAGGCATCTCTGCTCTTAGGCAGAGCTCTCATGGTTTTGCCATGTTCATATAACTTTGCCTTACTATTACAATAAAAATGTACAAAAATTAATTTTTTATAAGCATGTAGAACCATTTTGAGTTTTTTGAATTTTTTATTCTAGATATTATGAATGGATTTGGAGATTCACCAAGTGCGAAGGAAGTACCTAATAATGCCCAAACCTCTAACCATTTTAGCATGCCATCTGCAAATTCCTTATCCAGCATGCCAAAGTTTAGTCAGCTGAGTGAGTATCCTGTATTTGTGCACACTTTTCATTTTTGAAGCTAATTTTTAAAATATAATCAGTGGTTTGAGATACATTCTTATCCAAACAAATAGCCTCAGGGTAAACAGTCCAGTTTTGTAAAATATCTATAGCAGGGATGGTAGCAATAAATACATGAAATATCTCCATTATCCTTGCTTTATAGTAAACCACTGTTTCACCATTGGTCTAGATTTCTGATTTCTTTGTATATGAAATTTGTATGGTGAGTTTTATTTGCATTAAATTACTTTTCTTTGAGAATAAAATCTTACTTTATTTAGAGGGGAAAGAAAGGGTAAAAGAGAATATAGAGATATATGTTGAAATCAAGGATATGTATTTTATAAAATTATGCTTGTAGAGTACTAAAGAAAATTTTCTCTTAAAAAAACTTGTCTCTTTTAAGTTTCAAACAGTTAAATGATGTTTTGCTGCTTTCTGGCTCTCTAGTCAATTATATGTGCTTTGATGTGAAAAATCTGTACTTAACGAATGTAAGATGGAAGATTTCAGCAAGTTTTCAGCAAGCAACTCATTTCAGCTGGTACAATTTAGGCAGTTAATGAGATGATAAAAATCAATCAATATGTTCTTGTTGATGAAGTTGCTAGAATTGCAGTAATTTATCTGAACTAAAATAATGAGGTATCTTCCATTGTTATTACATTTACTCTCATAATTTTCCACCCTTGATTTTGTTGCTTGAAATTCAAAAAGCAAAAACTACACAAAGCATGTTAGTGTTCTAAGAAGAGTAATTGAAGAATGGTATAGGAGTAAAAAGTGTATATGGATTATATGTATTTATACACTCTGCAAAGAAATTAAGAGAATTTTCATATTTGGTCTATGATCTCCAGAACAACTGGACAGATTTTGATAAAATTTGGTGTGAACATAGGTTGATATAATACAAACAAAATGAACATTCAACAGTTATAATAGACACCCATGTCCGTATGTAACGCTCATGGGAGTCTGAAGGTCTGAAACAGCGGTTGCAGAAGAAATGAGTTAATAAGGGGTATGGTCCTTTCTTGCAGCCATACAGGCCTCGCAGCTTGATGTCATACTGGAAATAAGGCAGTTTATCAGTGCCTGTGGCAATTGGTCCTACTCATTCAGCAATGCTGTTTTCAGTTTTTGGATGGTTCTCGGAGGGGTTTGCAAGTTGCAGTTGCCCTCCCCAGAATGCCCCAGATATGCTTTATACGGTTGAAGTCTGGAGACCTGGCTGGCCAATCCATACGACAGATATCCTTACTCCAGGGTTCGTAGCGGTCCTTACAAGTGCTTATAAGTCCTTATATTTGAAAATAAAATATAAAGGCCCTTATAGGTACTTACTTTTTCTTTAAAACCCTTATTTTTTGTTTTTAGTGCTTATTTCTTGCTTTTAGTGCTTTTTTTTTTTAATCCTTTGTTTTTAATGAACGCGCATTTTTTCCCCGTACCAAAGCCAAAACTAAATAAATAACTTTTCTTCCTTATATGCAATGTCAGATGGTGAATCATACTCCCGAAGATTGCTTTTCCCCCCCTTCCTCTGCATTAACGTAACCTATGGTGCGCGCGAGAGTACAGACAGGTGCATGTTGTTCTATTGGCCAAAGAATTGCGAAAACGTAGAAAATTCTGGTACATTCAGTATTCTTTTCCTCCCAACCAAATACTACACACGTTTGGATTTCTATCAAGATTTTAATAATTTGCATTCTCGTTCCGCATAGTCAGTTCATATTCGTGTTTATGATGATCGTTATACTTATATTATGAGCATATGTATGAATATTTATAATAATATAGTTGCAGTAACTGCTGAAGTATAGATAAACTTCCAAAAATGGGTGTGTTTTTACACAGATTAGCTTTCTAAGGAATAATATTCGGAATGGCTTAAATAAAAGGAAAGGTAATCGAATAGTCAAAATAATTTCATTTTCCCTTTTCCCAATATATTAATACAGTACGGAGGTTGGGAGGTTCTCCACTTTCTCCACAAAATCTCTAATATTGAAGCAGCGGATCCCCCCCCCCCCGCACACACACACGCTGTCCAATCCGGATTGAATAGGACTAAAAGGTTTTTGCGGTCTACCCGAACCTAAAGCGAAGATTGATTCTATTCTGGAAATTTAAACGCAGTCTGTTGAAAATTAGAATCAGGAAACACCCCCAGATTAGTAAGTCTCTTTCTTTTCCTTTATTTAGTTCTTTATTCCTCCGAATACATACCGGCAGGCTGTTGATTCCGATTGCGTAATATCGCATATCGGAAGAATTAAGGTGCTCCTATTGTAACATATTGTATTAAGGTGCACGTATAAATAACGTTTGCGAGTATTTTGAACATGACAATTAATTTTTGATGTTCAGTCTGAGATTTGTTTATGAACACTTGAAAGAAAGTTTTACTGTGCTTTGCTAAGCAAGAATATTTTCTCAGTTCCGTTAGGCTATTTCTATATGATGTACATATCGATACGTCAAAATCATTTATTTAGCCGAAATTTAAATCTAAAGAACGGCTACAATATACCCTCCCTCCTCTTTTCTCCAGTTATGCTCGAGTATCCTGGAATTTTCAGATATTCGACAGTTTCCGATTATGCCAAGTTAGTTAAGCTTTTACTGTTAAAGGATGACTGCATGAAGCAATTTCCCGTCTTCTGATTTCAGAAATGTGCCTCTTTTTTACTTAAATTACTTTGTTTGGGATATATGTTAAGGGAAAACTGTTATGCAATGAAAATTTAGAAAATGTTCAGAATTTTGATTTAAGTTAAATTATTTAAATATTAATACGAGTGGAAAATAAATTGTATTTATTATTAGGTGCCAAACGAATACAATTAATATGGCTTATTATTATTTATTTTCTATGTTTTCAACTGAAATATCATCATTAAATTTTGTAATATAGTTTAGTTCTGCATAGTTTTTTTTTCTCTCATTGTAAACTAATTCTGTAAATTGAACTATCATTTAAAATTTAAAAAAAAAGTTAATTGTTTTCCATTGTTGAGGTAATGTTCATTCTCTTAATAAATATTGCATTGCTCATATTTTAAATTACAAGTCTAATTTTTCTTTTAAGGTTATGCAGTTGTGTATAATGTAATTAGATAGGTACTTATTTTTTCCTTAAAATGTTTTTGAAAAGTGCTTATAGGTGCTTTTTTTTTAACTAAAATGTGGCTATGAACCCTGTTACTCTCGAGAAATTCGTCGACCAAAAGACCTCTATGTGGCCTCACGTTATCATCCTGTAAGATGAAGACGAGGCCCACTATACCCTGGAAAACGTGAACATAGGGTTCCAAGACCTCATTCCCATACCTCACACCAGTCACAGAGCCTCTGTCAAAGACGTGGAGAGGTGTGCGGCCATCTAACAGGATGCCTGCCCAGACCATTACACCACCATAATTATTAATTTCGTGGACGTTGGAGGGTAGGTAGCGGATCCCTGGCTCTCTCTCCATATGAAAGTCCGACGAGAATCTGTGTTTAGGCTGAAAGGGGACTCATCGGTGAACAGAACGGTCGCCCATTGCTCCATACGCTATGCTGATTATCGCTATGCTGCCTGCACCATGCTAATCAGACTCTCCTGTCCGTAGATGTGAGCGGGACACAAACAACAGGTCTTCTGGCAAACGACCCTCTCTCATTCAGTCTTTTGGAAACTGTCACCCTTGTTATACGAGTTCCTGTGGCTGCATACAGGTCCCGAGAGAGCTGAGAAGCTGTAGTCCCGAGAGAGCTGAGAAGCTGTAGTCCCTCTGTTACGCCTTGCTAAAATGGACAAATAGTGATCTTCTCTGGCCATGGTGGCTCTTGGATGACCTTGCCCAGGCCTTCTCTCGATGGATCCAATATCCTGGAACTGTTTCCATAGGTTACACATGATGCTAGGCCTTAAATTAAACTCTCTACATATCTGGACTTGCAATTGGCCTGCCTCTAGCCTTCCCACAATTCGCCACCTCATTCCATCATCTAAACTTTGATGGTTACTCATTTTTACTGTTCTGATGTGAATTTAACCAATTGCTGCAAGATAACACCAAGAAATTCGCCGAAGTGTGCTAGCAAATGCAATTTGTCTTACCCTCCACGTGCTTATAAAGCCTGTTTTTCTGCTGGCTCCGCCTACACACAAGTGTAAGCTTGCGTATTTGCCATACAGGATTTGCATTTTTATCTAGAGGCAGTGGTTTTTCCTTCAGTTCAGCTCTTTTCATGCAATTCAATAAAATATGCAAATTCTCTTAATTTATTTATTTTACCAGTGTATTGTGGTGAATTATTGCTGTAACATATTATAAAACAAAAACTTAATTTTAACTTTAAACCCTTTTATCTTATTCTTAATTAGAAAATACTGCTTTTAAGTTACGTCTATTGCATTTTCTTGTTGTTTTATTTCAGTAGAATTTTAATACATAATAAGTGGTGGCCTCATTGAAAAAATGGTAAAGCTAATTAAGACATTTCTAACTGCTTTATCTTGATCTTTAGGCCTTTACACAATGACAAGACTGTGAAAATTCTAGTATTAAAAAAGGCATTGAATTTTCATTCAATCTCTTATAAGCTAACATCTTTAATAGCCAGTATTGTAATTTTGTAATAACACCCTGTATTGAAAAAACATTCACAAAGTTCTAATTCTTGTAGTTACCTTCAAAATTTCAAACTGAGATCGTCCTTCTTTTAATGCATGTCTGAGTAAACATATTGTCTGTGAGCTTAAAAAATTAGCATGCACACCCATATCACTAATTCAGTTATATTATACAGTACGATGTCAGAGATTCGGACTCATTGGGACTTCTGCGATTCCAGATTTGGAAATTTTCTGCATATTAGATCTCCAGTTTAAATGTAGTAAAATGGCATGTAGAAATAACAAAATTAAAAATATGAAATCGGGATTTATGAAATAATGAAGAATTTATGATCTAAAAGGTATCAAGCGTAAAATTTATTTGTTTACTTTATTAAACATTTCTTTCAAGTTGTTTAAATTGCTTCGTTTGTTGTACTAATACTTTCTCTTTAATTCTATACACAGACATAATTTTCTTGTTCAATTACAAAGTTCCATTGTTGAAGTCCTGTAATTGCTGTGTCTAGAATTCCAACTAATTTACAATCAAAATTTTTTTGTTTTCAGTAACCTTTCTGTCACTTTCTTCACTATTGGTAGCGGTATTTTCTGGATCTAGAATGACACTACAGATTTCGCTATCGATTAATTGATTGATGATTGAGGAGCATTGTCATCACAATGAAAAAATTCCTTTATATCATCTTAATTTATTAGCATTTCTTTACAAAATCTTATTAATTGGAAAATTTCACTTTGGTTTGTGATATCTGAAAACTTAAAATCTGTGGCTTTCATCTTCATATTCCTCACCATGAAATATAGTAGCTGGCCATAAATCCCCGGATCTGACTCCCTCGGATTTCTAATTGTGGGTATACATGAAGTCCATATTGTACCAGATGACAAGAACATTAAACATGGATCTCGTCGCCAAGATCATGGAAGCGGCAGCACATGTCTCTGACACACCTGCCCATTTTGAACAGGTCCGTGAATCCATATGTAGATATTGTGAAGCATGCATTGTAGTGAATGGAAGGAATTCTGAACATATTCTGCAATTTAACCATTTTCTTTAATAAAAGTAATATTAGCACTTCTTTCGACATCTTTTCTTTCTTCCCCTCTATGCTTGCGAACACTGCCCTCTAGTGGTCGCTGTTTGCTTTCGATGCAGGTTTCTGCATAAATCTTGTTTGTCATGGTACAACACACCAACATGTTAAGTTTGGCAACAACATTTTGAGGTATCCTCAAAGTAATCACTATTGGCATCCAATGCCTTTTGCTAATGAGTGGCTAGCTGTGTGATGCCATCTCAGTAAGACTCAGAAGTCTTGGATGCAAAGAAGTTCCCTGAGGGCCATTTTGAGGTCTGGCCAGTTGTTGAATTATTTCCCATAAAGATGATTTTCCAGGGAATGGAAAAGGTGGTAGTCTGTTAGTGCAAAGTCTGGGGTATATAATGAATGGGGTAGTGTCTCCCAACTCAGTCACTGGATGTTGCCCCTGGCCTCCTGAGCCACATGCGGCCTTGCATTGTCATAGAGAAGGAGTACTTCCTTACGATTGACCAATGCTGCCTCTTTATGCGTCAGTGCCTGATGAACACATTCCAATTGCTGCGAGTACAGTGCTACCGTGATGGTTTGGCCTACTGGCAGGAGCTCATAGTGCACCACTTGGCGACTAGTCCACCAGATGCAGAGCATGATCTTGCGTGGGTGGAGAGAAGGTTTTGTAGTGTGAGGCGCAGCGTCCCGTGGTGACAGCCAATGTCTGGAATACCTGGGTGTGTGATACTAGACCTACTTTTCATCACTGGTGAGTACTCGATCGAATATGGATACATTGTGGTGCTGAGTAAGCAATGACAAACAGGCAGCGACATACTGTTGCATGTTTGCGTCAGAGAGTGAGTGGGGTACCCACTTGCTCAGCTTGTATACCTTTTCCTATGCGCTACAAATGGAGTCTGATCTTTTCATCAGAGGTGCACCACTAAGAGACATATTCCCTGACCTGAATTTCTGGAACCATTGCCTAGCAGTTCGTTTGTTAATGGCATTATCCCGAAAGGCCTGGCAAATTTGGTGACTTGATTCTGCTGCTGACTGGTTCACTTTGAAATCATACAGCAAATAACTCGAACGAGTGCCTTTGATGCATCCATTTCAATCAATCGCTGTGCGAGTTATGTTTGAAGTACTGATACAATGCACTTTTATACTCTTGGTCAATGTCCGTACTCCCACCCTAACCACTTCATCGCCAGCTTTGGCAAATATTTTTATGTTGAGGTTCACTCTTCCAATGTCACATCTGAAATGGCAAGAACTTCTTTGATTACATTGTATTTCCTAAAACCATATTTCAAAGAAAATTTCCACTCTCAAATCCATTTAAGCAATTTTGGGGGGGGGGCATGACATCTGTACAAACGGGCAATGTTGTACTTCTGTTGAATTTTACATTGCTTAAGCATAAAGGACTTTTTATCCCAAAATGGATTCAGAAGAGATATTTTTCGTGACATCTCTACGTACGCATGTATGTGTGTATCTCGCATAACTAAAAAATGAATGGCTTCAAAACATTGGAATTTTGTATATGACTCTGCTATAACATGTATTTGTGCACTTCTCTTTTTGGTTGCAATTGGCTGTCTCGAAAGTATATAAATATGTATATTGGGTGTACAAATAAGTTTTGAGGTATTTACATAAGATAACATTGCTAATATTAAATCCAGTCAGATAATCTTGTAACTAACTATATTCATGTTAAAGCACTAGCATTTCCATCTAAAAATCTGTTTTAATATAAACAGCAAAACAAAACTTGCGGGAAGCGCTTTTTTTTTTTTTTTTAATTTGAAGAAAAATGCAGCTGATGGACTTCAGTTGCTGTGTGTAGCATATGGGGAACATGCTCCATTAATAAAAACATGTGACCAGTGAAGTTTCAAGATGCTGAGTTGGAGGGGTGATTAGACCAAGATTCATGCCAAACTCAAGAGAAGCTCGCCAAAACCTTGGGAGTGACTCATCAAGTGACTGCAATGCTTCTCAATGGCATGGGTACGGTGCAAAAACAAGGAAATTGGGTTCTGTATGAACTCAAGCCGAGAAACATCGAACACCATTTTTTCACTTGTGAAACAACTGTTCCAAAGGCAAAATCGGAAGGGATTTTTCATCAAATCATGACAGGGGACGAAAAATGGATCTACTACAACAACGCAAAGTGCAGAAAATGGTGGGGTAAGCCCGGCCATGCATCAACTTCAACTTCCAAATATTCATAGCAAGAAGCTAATGCTGTTCATCTGGTGGGATCAACTACTTGCTTGTTATGAAAAGCATAGAAAAGAAAGTTTTATATAAATTTGAATCAGCATGTTATTAATTGCTTGTTTTAAATATAATTGTTGTAATAATCAATATTTTTACTTTTTAGGTGAGGACCTAAGATTGAGTGAATCTGATAGTGACAGTGATGGTTAAACATTTGTTGGAGAAAGCAAATGCTTGTATACATTTTTTATAGTGGCATTTATTTCTCAGTTCCCTCATCTATGCAAGTGGGAAAAATATACTGTGATATGTTTAATTATTACATAGAATAGCTAATTTTTTGACTTTTATGTAAGAAATATCATAGTTAAATAAACTGTGGCTTTTGATTAATTTTGTCAGCATTGAGTTGGTTACCTTTCTTAAATGCATAATTTAAATACTGTAATGCATCATTCAAGTAGTTATTTAAATTTGATATTGCTAAAAATCAATCCAGAGCCATTAACATGGGTTGGCATATTACTTTTGGGACATAACAAACTTTTGATCATGAATGGGAATTGTTTCATTGTTTTATCAGCATTCTGTGAAAGCTATCTTTGAGTCCTAAGTGATAAAGTAACAGCTTTGAACCTGAAATTAAGTATCATTTGGAAGATATTATTATGTAAATTCATCCCTTGTAATACAGTAATTGTATTGTACTTGTATAACAGTAACATCCCTTGTACTTGTATAACAGTAATTGTGTTGTAATTTATGTTTATCCCTTTATCAATTTATTGCACTCTTAACTGGTTACAAAATGACATAAATGCATTAAGAGCGTTTAATACCCCTTTCTCATGTCGATTTTTAATAACAGATGGCGCTATGAACGTTGAGCGATAAAGACTCAAATCTGTAAGACTACCTACAGCCTGGTTACTATGGCAACGGCGCTTCCTTCCTCTGTACTTGTTTGGCGGGAAAGTGAGTAAGCCATAAAACACATCCCCTCAGTTGAACAAAAGACCTGCTGTCATTTCTTCCGTCTGTGACTCAGACTGCAGGGTATGTTTTTGAACAGGAATAGAACTTTTTCACCTTTGTGTTGAATGAAAGATATCTGTGAGATACGTGCAGCAGTCGCTATTTCTTTTCGCAAAATTTGTTCATCACGCTTTTCAATGTTGCGTAATGTTTCATAATTTGCCGTTATTTTGCGGAAGAGAAAACAAATTTCATCGCGACATAAAAATTATATATAAATGATTTTATACTTGATGATATGTGTATACATATATAGCACGCACATAATATTCCATTACTCATCCATCCATAATATTTCATAAATTACCATCCATAATATTCCATAAATATGTGTTAGCACTTTCCAGAGCTTTATATATATTTTTTACTTGTATTGTAAAATCGTATAACACTCCTAACTATTATTTTTTACTTCAAAAGTGGATAAATCATTATCAAATTTTTCTAGTACACGGAGAAATGGTCTATGTATCCACACACATAAACGTAGTAAAAGATACTATTGTTGATTGAATATCTTTTGGCAGCAATATCAAGATGCAATGAAAATTCGAAATCAATTAATAACATGCATTTTATTACAAAAAACACTAGCAGGACGTATTATTTGCACAAAAAACTTAGTGTGGAAATAATTTGAGGCACATTATCTGAGATCCGCTTTGAATGAATACATAAAGTGTTATAATGAACAATCAGTTTTCAATATTTCACTTGATACTGAAATGCATAAAATCAAATTGCGTTTCTATGTTTCAGGTTTATAAAATACAGCTGATAATTGAAGGGGTATCAGGTTTATAAAGTACAAGCTGATAATACATGATAAGGGGAGAAGAAATTCCTAAATTACAAAATTGAATAAAATTGAATATTATATTTTAATAAAGTAAAATGATACATATTATAGATACATCCTAAAAAACGATAATATATATATATATTGTATATCGTTGTATACCGTATATATATATTATGTATTTATATGTATATCTACTCTTTTCCGGATGTAACTGTAATTACGTACTGTGCTGGTTTATCATCTTCCTGTAGCGATGCATTTGGATTTGCTGTGTATGAATCTGTTTCATTGAACAGGAACAAATAGGAAACAGAATATTGAAAATTGAATTTTTTTAAAGCATTAGTAATTTATATATATTAGATTGACTAAAAAGAGTATATTCATGCATAACGTATAAATATGCGAAGTGAATACTTTTTGGCAATCACCTTTCTAGGATGATCATTTTTAAAAATAACCAGTACTGTTGATAAAATAAACACCGGTACGATCTATCTGCCTAAGGGAAAGGATGCCTTCGTGGAAGACTTTCTAAGGGAAATTGGCTCCTAGACACGTTACACAGGGTAAAACCACGAAAGCGCAACCAGTCCCTTCGCGGGATTCGAAACTCGGACCGAAATACTGGTGTTCAGCTACTTTACCGCTTCGTGCCTCATTTCAGAGCGGATTCGCTATATATGAAACAGAGTAATGTGCTGTTACCGTATTTAGCAGCCTGCCTTTTTCCTTGACCTACCATAAAAAAATAAAATAGCAAAATTATAACAGCGTCTCTAAAAAGATGCTTTGCTATATTCTCATTAAATCTTTATCATTCTGCGCTACTAAAAACGAAGTACGATTATTTCAAATTCAAAATTTTATAACATTACTTTACAGAAAGCGATCTCATGTCTTCTAAAAATAAAACCCAACATCTGTTTCTACTCAAGCGCTTACTTTCTAGACAAAGTAATTTCAGTGTAACGTACGTTCAGTTTTATCTAACTTTGAACGGAAAAAAAAAAAAAAAAAAAAAAAAAAACTATGTACATAACAGGCAAAGATATTAACAGCACATAAATTTAATCAATTATATTGGATTACCAGAGGAGAAAAAAATAATTCGATGAGATAATTCTCTGAGAATTCATAAACGCTAAATTAAGAATAAATTTTATAAAATGTTTACTAATGAATACATGTATTTGCATAGTAAGTTTCCTTTTTTAAAAAATTCCGTTTTTCATCTTTATCACGTTTATCGGAGTGTCGTATTTAACTTCACAATTATGCTCCGAAATTTCATTGCTGTAGATTGGATTATTACCAATATATAATTCTACTAGTAACCAGAGCCAGTATTAGAGGTTTTTGCTGCTCACTACAATATCTGTGGCTCTTACTTCTGCCACGCGCCGCCAGTGGCTGAGTGGTTAAGAATATTGATTACTGGAAGTTCGACCTGGTTTCGGTTCGATCCCAGGCGAACCAGCTGGCTGCATGGTTTGTTTTCCTGTTGTGCAACATGAATACGACCCAGTTTCCTTCAGCAATTAGGCTCACCCGCGGCCGAGCGGTTAAATCGCTGAACACTGGTAGTTCCGACCTGGGTTCGAATCAAGGCGAACGGGCTGGCTACATGGGCGTTTTCATAATCTTCCCCGTGTGTGTTTCTCTAACGTGTATGGGGAGCTTTGCTATAAACTAAACTAAGCCTTCAGAAACTTCCTCCACGAAAGCATCTGCTATCTGCCACCTCGTGGCTTTGCTATATTCAAAGAGCCTAACCCAATTCTAGCACTCAGTTCCTCTCTAAATTCTAGCGGGCGAGCGCTAAAGTCGCCTATTACTGGTAGTTCAACCTCGGCACATTATCTGAGTTCAGCTTTGAATGAAAACAACATAAAGTGTTATAATGAACGATTAGTTTAAAGATTTCACTTGATACTGAAATGCATAAAATCAAATTGCGTTTCTACATATCAGATTTATAAAGTACAGCTGATAATTGTAGGAATATCAGGTTCATAAAGAACAGTTGATAAATACATGAGAAGTGGGAAGGAATTCATAAATTACAGAATTTAATGGTTGTAACGAAAATTTTAAGCACGAACGTTCTTCATAAAGTTTTTTTTTTATGAAAAAAAAAAGCAGTCAGTACCTTTAGTGCGGGATAGTAATCACTACCAAAAATCTATGCTTTTCTGCCAATTTTTTGGTAGTTTTTCAAAACCTTCGGCTCGGAAACTTGGTGGCCCGAGTCCAAACACAGGTCAACCTCATTTCGGACGTCTTGTGCAGAAGTGAAGATAGGACCAGCAAGATGTAGCTGAAAAAAGGAAAGTCCGAACGTGCGATGTCGGGGTTATATGGTGGATGTGGTGAAAGATCCCTTTCGAGTCCGTACAGAGGCTAGCCGGTGAATGCAGACACGTATGGTATTATCTTGATGGAACGTTACCTTTCTGCGCCGGAACTCAATTCGACTCTTTTCCTTGATAGCAGCGTCAACATGCACTAGCATCTCGTTGTATCCTTTACTGTCAAGGGTTTTACCTTTTTCCATATACTATTTGTGATTAATACCACGGCAATCCCACCAAATACAAAAGAATGATCTTTTTGTTAGTCAAATTACGCTTTACGATGCTGCCGACGGACTCACGGGCGCAGATCAACTAATTTTTGGCCTATGTTGTTGAAATAAATTTATTTTTCAACACAAGTGACTATCCAGATCACCAGATCCAAAGCATGATCTTTTCGTTAGTCAAATTACGCTTTGCGACGCTGCCGACAGGCTCACCGGGCGCAGACCAGCTCCCTTTTCGACCTATATTGTTTGTGTAAACTTGTCTAACTTTGAAAGAAAAAAAAAAAAAAAAAACTATGTATATAACACGCAAAGATATTACAGAACATAAATTTACTCAATTTTATTGGATTACCAAAGGAGGAAAAAATACTCAGATAACTCTCTTAGAATTCTTAAACGCTAAATTAAGAATAAATTTTATAAAATGTTTACTAATAAATACAAGTATTTTAAATAATAAATTTTTCCATCTCTACATATACCACGTTTATCGGAGTGTCGCATTTGACTTTACAATTAAGCTCCGAAATTTCCTTGCTGTAGATTGGATGATTACCAATATACTTACAATCCTACTAGTAACCAGGGCCACTATTAGGGATTTTTGCTACTCAGTACATTATCTGTGGCTCCTACCACACGCCACCAGTGGCCGAGTGGTTAAAACTACTGAATACTGGAAGTTCGAACTGGTTTGGGTTCGATGCCAGACGAATCAGCTGGTTGCATTGTTTGTTTTCACCGTGTGTAACATGAATACAAGCCAGTTCCCTTCAGCAATTAGGCCCTCCCGCGGTAGAGGAATTAAATCGCTGAACACTGGTAGTTTCGACCTGGATTCGAATCAAGGCTAACGGGGGGCCGGCTGCATGGACGTTTTCATAATTTTCTGTATGTGTAACGTGTATGGGTTGTCAATTTCTCTAAGAAAGTTCAACATGAAGGCATCCTACTGTGCTTTGCCATAATA